ATTGTCATTGTTTTCTTTAAATATAATACATTTTATTTCACTTACCCCCCACGAAAACACGATTTCAGCCATATTTTGCCGTCTTGTTTGCTTTTTATCGCCGAATCTGAAAAATATCATCCAGCCGTTGTACTTTTACATAATCATAAATGGCTGAAGAAGATTTCAAGGAAGGTTTCATCAAGTTTTGAAACAGTGCAGTGTATTTTATCTTCGATATTGTGTCCTTCGATATTTCGTCAAATTGCCGCCATTTTAATGGCTCGCCGCTTCTCTGCCCGATAAATGGCACTTCTTCGTTTTCATATGTATTTAGATTACAGTATCCAAGAGTACTTCATTGTAGAATAGTCCCAATCGAAAAATTGAAAATATTAGTTGTATTTGGAAGGAAAAACCCTCCCGTAAACCATTTAGGTTCAAAATACAAAACAAATCATTTGAAAGTCACGCGCAATCTTCGCGAAAACTTCTCGTGGACACATGGCAGGGGGGGGGGATATTTTCACGAAACGTAATAAAAATATGTAAATAAAAATAATTTTTAACTTTATAAAGTTAATTTGTATTAGTGGACCTCATATATCTTGAACCTGACATTATCTGACACTATTCTCCTTTGTTATATTAGTTTGTTTTTTAAATTTTTTAGGGTGGACTACTAGAAAAGCCCTGACGGGCTTGTTAGTCTTCCTTCCATATGAATTGTATCTTTATATTTTATCAAAACTGTAACTATATAATGGAAAAATAAAATATCTATCTATAACGTTTGTTCGCCACCACAGCAACCTAACTAAATATATTTTATTTATTGTATTTTTATGATTTATGATAAAAACAATAAATATTTGCCTAGTTTTAACATAAATCATGAAAATACAATAAATACAATTGCTGTGGTGGCGAACAAACGTTTCGTGAAAATATTCACCCCCCCGTCATGTGTCCACGAGAAGTTTTCGCGAATATTGCGCGTGACTTTCAAATGATTTGTTTTGTATTTTGAACCTAAATGGTTTACGGGAGGGTTTTTCCTTCCAAATACAACTAATATTTTCAATTTTTCGATTGGGACTATTCTACAATGAAGTATTCTTGGATACTGTAATCTATAAATACATATGAAAACGAAGAAGTGACATATATCGGGCAGAGAAGCGGCGAGCCATTAAAATGGCGGCAATTTGACGAAATATCGAAGGACACAATATCGAAGATAAAATACACTGCACTGTTTCAAAACTTGATGAAACCTTCCTTGAAATCTTCTTCAGCCATTTATGATTATGTAAAAGTACAACAACTGGATGATATTTTCCAGATTCGGCGATAAAAAGCAAACAAGACGGCAAAATATGGCTGAAATCGTGTTTTCGTGGGGGGTAAGTGAAATAAAATGTATTATATTTAAAGAAAACAATGACAATCCTTATGAAATCAACAATATTTATATTGAATTAAGCATAGTTTTTCACCCCATGATAATTTTTTTTAGGAAATAAGAATACTTAATTTCTGCCAGGCATATTAGTTATTTTATGCATAATTAGCAATTTACCTGGGGTGGTGCATGGTCATTTTCTTGTAAAATATTATACTTAGAAATTTTTTTTTCTTCCAATGACCACCCCTAAAAGCAATCCTTCTAAACACTATAAGCACTTCAGAAAGGCTGTCACTTTTCGTTTTCGGAAGTTGGAGCTATGTCGACACTGCCGTTTCAGGGCGGGGTCATTTTCAGGACTTTCGCCCCGGATTCAGGTTTTGGTGCATATGTCATGTTGACCGTCATGGTCATTTTACCCTAAAACAGTTGAGATTACCTGTGCTAAATGAAATGCATACAAACATCTATACAGGTCCTAGACTACGAGGTAAAATGTGTTTTGAACCTTAACGAAACTGATGTTAGTCCGGAAAATTCATTTTGACCCTTTTTTATGTCCTGAAAAATTTTTTCAACAACTGCCCGCCAACAATTTTTGGAAAAAAAATAAAATTCGAGCAAGGGATTAGTAAAAAAAAATTATCGAGACAAGCAAAAAATTTGAAAAAATACTCGTACGGGTTGGAAATGGACCACCCCCCCCCCATCACTTTTCTAATGGTCCGTCCCTAACGTAAGGCAAAGGGGAGTGACCATGAAGAGGCTGATATGGAGAGTGACCATGAAGAGGCTGATACCAGACTCATCTCACATGCTACGCATGCTAGCTTGGACCATCACCAGGAAAGTATTGCAAGCTAGTGACCTGTTTTTCTGGACAGGCACAAGGCGAAGAGTTTTATTTATCTCAGTTACACTCATGGCATGAATCGATTCCGTATCCTTAATATGGATCCTTAATAATAATTGCGAGTACTAGCTGTGCTTTATATAATTTGTACTATTTAGTACTATTTGCTCTTAATGCCCGCAACAACCTTGCAAGTACCCAGTTTATAAAGACAATCTGGCGTTAATATTTGGTTTAGCTACTGTCCGAATATAAAGATGAAACTAAAATTTATGTACATATATAATTTTGACTCAGAATCTACCGAAGCATTATATACGTGTTTTCCACGTATATTAGGCCGTAGGATGAGCATCCAAAAGATGCAATTCCGTTGCACCCCTCGTGTAACTACGTAATTTTCACATGAATAAATAGATAAAAACTTACTTTATCAGAATCCGTTGCTCCCCAAGCGAAACAGGTGCACAATTGGGAGAAAAATCCCTCCAAAGTTGGATATTTTCGCGCTTCGAAACACTCGAACCGCCATTATTTTGGTAGCAAATACGCATGCGCAACTCAGCCAAACTCGCACTGCGCACGCGCAGACTATAAAAATAGATTCTCACTGGGGGGTTTCCCCGATTTCATCCGCAAAAACAACAAAATAAAATCACGGAATACTGATAATTGATAAACCTTGTATATAAATACACCCACATTAAATATTGTTAAAAACACATTGTATATTTTGCTTGCTCTTATGCTAAATCACTTCAATTCATTGACTATTGTTCCAAAATACCGTTTTAATTAACGTCTAATTCTACTTTATATTAACATCCTATTAAATTCAATACAAATTTGTGCGAGGTAAAAAACCCACCTGTATAAAACAGGACGAAGAAATAAAAAATATATATACATACAATTCACACGATCAAGGAACAAATGAAATATTTCGCTAAACTTAAAGCCTTGGCCAAACGTAAGAAACAATGTCGCGGAAATATTCGTGATTTTTAATTGGCTTTTATTGCAGACGCAAAATTTGCTTCCCAGAAAGCAAATTATTTCCTACCAAATTCAGAAGCATTTTATGAAACACTCTTTATCCATTTGCCGACGCTGATAAGACAATATGACATACCGAAAGATTGGAAAGACAAATAATATGACAAACAGTGTTTCCCAGTTCATCCTGGGCTTTATGGGATATTTATATAAACTCGAAATTCATCATAAAAAAAGATAAATTGGGAGGAAATATAAAATCCATCTATAATTGAAAGAAACGTTTTCATCTTTGAACCCAGATTTTCATCAGAGAAATAAAATCCCACTTATTGGATCCTGGCCAAGGGCTTGCTAGTTGCGGGAAATTGCGTCTGCACCGCAGGCTAAGGGCTTGCACGCTCAAAACGAGATTGCATATATTCTGCAATAAGCTGTCCTGGCTTTTGTCTGGTAAAGTTCTACTTCTCGTATTTGAACTATTACATATATTATTATTTATATTGTGACATAAGTTGGTATTTAGCCACTATCTAGAATAACAACGAACGATTCATTATGGTTTTTCTTGTCTACACTAGTTGACTTTTTCTTATAGGTTTGCTACTGTGCATTTTACTCCTCCACCAGGGTGCGTTTTAGCTTCCCAGACATGACCATACTGTTACCCTGTCCATGAGAGGGATATATGTGTTGATAATATAAATACTGTGGATTCGATTGAGAATATCGAATAAGTAAATATTAAATACTGATCTTCTCCACTGATAATATATATGTGCATTACCACAATTGTTCACCTCAAATCATTAATAATTCATGAGCAAATTAGCCAACCATATTGCTTTATTTTGCTCACATGATAATACTGGATACCTTATGAAGTATATTGATCCTGTAGTGTCCTAGGACTGGATTAAAACTAATTCAGTCCTTGAACTGGATCAAAATTAACTAAGTAGTGATTTATTCGTATGGATGTAATATTCAAATCCTCCAATTCGGACTGGACTAGATTTCAAGTCCTCACATTTTGATCCAGTCATCTGCTTCGCCTCAGACGTAATCAAATTGTGTGGACTTGAAATCTAGTCTAGTCCTGACCTCATAGTCGGATTTGAAATATTATCCCTTGTCAAATCAGATGCCAATGGAGGCCAAGGAAGATTCAGTTTTGGTATTTCTTGCAGCATTGTATAGAATTTGTAAGTCATTGACTTTAGAATTTCCCTCAGTTTCTGTGTTGGAATTCACATCATCATAATCAATGGTACATCTCTCTTCATCAAAGTCCTCATCATTGTTTTCAGACTAGGGCCTGTTTATATGGAAGCTGGCCTGATAAGCGAGACAGCCTAGTAAGCGAGATCTCGCTGTGTAGTTATTTTTATAGTAAAAATGATTGTGCGTTTATCTCGCTTACCGGGATGGAAATTTCTCCATATAAACATTTACAAGAGGGCTATCCCGGTTGCTGGGATGAAAGTTCAAAGATACCACCGCAATCTATTTTTAACAACTATCAAAACAATACAATGTAACAAAATCGTCCCGGCAAGCGGGATGAAAGTTTCTCATATAAACACAAGAGAAATTCATCCCGCTTACCGGGCTGTCTCGCTAAGCGGGCCAGCCCGACTTCCATATAAACAGGCCCTTAATTGACATATGTTCCTCAACCAATTCAGAAGAATCCAAATTTTCCACAAATACAATCTCACTAACATTTCTCATTTGGTACATAGAACACAAGTTGGGGATAACTTTTCATCAGTCATTGCTTGAGTTTAAAAGCTCTATATTTATATGCATCCACATTCTCAGTGTCCTTAGGAATGATAACAAATTTCTCCAGCAAATCTTGATTCTTTCATATACTTTATTTGCTTATTTCTGATAAACTCCATCTCAATTACTTTTTTACAGAATACATCATAAGACTTCTTGTACACTGATGCTCTTGTTGCTTCTTCGTCTCTCTGGTGAGAAATATTGTATAATTGTAGTAGCAAACTTTGTGATAGCGGATTTCCAGAGCTACACAGTCTTCCCCTGGATTTGCATGAGTATCTGTTGATCATTCTTTCTCTCGGCAGCTGTACGTAGAAGACCAGCATCAATTGTTTCTGCCAACATGAGTGGGGTTCTTCTTCTCTTCTTAGTTGCCTGGTGTGAAACAAAATAAATTATTAAACTAAATATCTACTAATAACAAGGTTGGATGTTTGTAGCATAGAAACTACTTTACCCTAAGTAAACTTAATTGATCACAATTCAATATATTTTAAAACCAAACCGGAGAATGTTGTGCACATTGCGCTAGTATTATACCTATCAAAATGACCATACCTTGTCTAGTGAGAACCACGAGGCGTCTCTTCCACAAATAATACATATCTCTGGGAGTACATGCGCGTTTCTTTTAGGCAGGGCCTTTATATTTATAGCTTCTGCGACTGATTGACGTGTAATTTTTCGCCTTGGTTCTATTGCCTCCACTTCCACGTGTGATTCTTCGGTAGAAGTTACAGTTTTACAGCTAGTTCCTTCTCCTTTTTCTTCTTTTCTCTGTGATCTACAGATCTTCTCTTCATCACAAAATCTCTTCCAGCATTTCATATGATGGTTCCATTCTAAGTTAATGGTGTCAGGGTTCTTCTCCATGTATGAATATTTGACAGATCCGTCATCGATGTTCTCGTACCGATTTCTTAGCTATTTCAGCTTGTTGACATTTAAGTTTGGCCCATTTTGACCTACACTCAAGAAATTTCTTAAGCCTTTGGCGTGTAACTTTGCAAAGTTGCTCCGTAACGCCATCAAAATGCATAAAACACGAGGTGATATTGGAGTTTTATAAATATCTTCAAGCCATGTTTATTTGCATAACTGAGCGTGTTTCCACTTCGAAGCATGTGCGTTGGTTGTGCGCGTGCGCAGTGCGAGTTTGGGTGAGTTGCGCATGCGTATTTGCTATCAAAACAATGGCGGTTCGAATATTTCGAAGCGCGAAAATATTAAACTTTGGAGGGATTTTTCTCCCAATTGTGCACCTGTTTCGCTTGGGGAGCAACAGATTCTGATAAAGTAAGTTTTTATCTATTTATTCATGTGAAAATTACGTAGTTACACGAGGGGTGCAACGGAATCCGTTTTCTAAGCATCTTTTGGATGCTCATCCTACGGCCTATATTGGGAGGCCTGTTCTAGATGATTTCGTTGGGAGTTATTGAAAACCTAGCGTGCGCGTCGTAATGTTCATAATTATGACGTCATATGTGGGGGGTGTTACTATGATAATCCCGTACGCGTATATTAAGTGAGGCTGAATAGAAAATAAAATTGAATAATATGCATTTCGATAATTAGTTTCATTTAAGGATGATTTACACAAGAAAAATCATAGCAAAGACAAGGGCTTTGGTACTTTATTATAGAAAGGAATCGGGTTTTTCGAATAGGGAGATCGCGAGAAAATGTCATATAAACCCTTCATCAGTAGCAAGAATATAGAGGGAAGACCCACAACCAGCTGCGCTGAGATCTAAACAATTAAAAGGCAACAAGTCGCCCAAGAACAGTTGACGAGCGATCGTAATTGTCGCTATTTTGCAAGGATTGGAAAGGTGTGGATCTCAAAGTTCCCTATAAGAAAATGAATGGCAATTTCTTTGCAGAGTTCATTGGAAAGCATTTTAATACTTGTTTTGCAAAGTGCGGACGTAAAAAAGATCGTTGCCTGTTTCTCAAGGATAATGACCAATTACAAACGAGTAAAGCAGCGCGAAAAGCAATGGAAAAAATCGAGGCTGAATTTCACAAGATTTCGGCTAAATCGCCGAACCTGAACTCGATTGAAAATATCTTTTACTTGGTAAAGAAAAGTCTCGAGAATGAAGCAATCGCTAATAATATAACGTAAGAAACGTTCCAAGACTTTTCAGCGCGAGTTTTACTGATCCTTGGAAAATCTGTCAACCGATGTAATCGATCGACTATTTCAAGCCTGTCAAGTCGAGTAGATGCTGTTCTCAAAGCAAGAGGATATCGCCTAAAATACTAGGAGTTCTATCTTTTACTGTTATATATGGTAATTCAAGGCAGAGTAAGGGCAGTATAGATCAAAATAGGTGTAGCCATTTTCGCAAATAGGCAATTAGCTTGCTGTCAACAAGTAAATTAAATGCTAAGTACAATTACACGTCTTCACAGCGTGACTCCAATGGTGCAGCAACGCAAAATTACAAACAGTGTTCCCTTGATATTTCCTAAGTATTTGCCAAGGATGCAGAAATTTTTGTTTTCGGATACACAAAGTGGTTTGCATTACTTGAATAAATGCATTTATTCATTATAAAATCTTATTAAGTCATTATTGCTAAATTAAGAACAGTACTCCACAAACCTAGCTTAAATTCCTAGACTATCTCACTGAATTCTTTAGAAAAATGGGGAACACTGTTCAAAATCATGCAAGATATAGTTATAATTTATTTATTTCGAAGCAAATACGTTGACCATTAAATATCATTATCAAAGATCGTTATATTATTTGCAAATATTAAAATTTAATAGATTTACAATGAATTTTTCGATGGAGTAATGTATGGACCTATGTTATGCATATCTGGGCGT